GTGTAGAGGGAGCTTTACTCTGTATCTAACCCGGTGCTGTCCCTGGGGAGTGTTTGATGGGGGTGACAGTGTAGAGGGAGCTTTACCCTGTATCTAACCCCGTGCTGTCCCTGGGGAGTGTTTGATGGGGGTGACAGTGTAGAGGGAGCTTTACCCTGTATCTAACCCCGTGCTGTCCCTGGGGAGTGTTCGATTGGGGGGGGGACGGTCAAGATTAAAATTATTCCCATGCCCTACGCTGACAGACCTCCCCAAAAGCTGTGATGTACCTCACTCCTGGATCGCAGCTGGAGCCCAGGCCCACTGCTGGAGATAACAAATGCACAGTCCGATCCCACGACGATGAGTCTTCAGGCCCCTGGTGGTAGCGGGTGAGAAATAGAATTTAAAGGTCAGCTGTGTAATGTCCCTGCCTCTGGTACGGCAGACACAGGGGGGAGAGCCACTGCCCACAGGGTCCCCCCCCACTCCCCGAGACACCGCACCACCCCCGCCCCCCCACCACACCCGACACACACAGACACAGACACACACTCTCTCACTCACTCTCACACACACACACAGACACACACAGACACACACACACTCACTCTCACACACACACACACACACACACACAGACACACACACACACACACAGATAGATATACAAACTCTCTCACATACACACACACACACAGACAGACAGACAGACACACAGAGACACACTCTTGCACACACACACACTTTACACACACATGCACACACACGCACACACACTCTCACAGACACAGACTCTCTCACAGACACACACACTCTCACAGACACACACTCTCGCGCACACACACACTCTAACACACACACACACTCTCGCGCACACACACACTCACGCGCGCGCACACACATATACACATACCCTTGCGCACACACACAGATACGTACACAGACAGGCAGGCAGAGACTCACACACACACACACACACACACACACACACAGATGCAAACTCTCTCTCACACACACAGATACACACACAGACAGACGCACACACACACATACACAAATTCTTTCTCACACACACAGATAGACAGGCAGAGAGACACACTCTTGCACACACACACACTTTACACACACATGCACACACACGCACACACACTCTCACATACACAGACTCTCACATACACACACTCTCACAGACACACACTCTCGCGCGCACACACTCTCGCGTGCACACACACTCGCGCGCACACACACTCGCGCGCACACACACAGACACACACACACTCTCGCGCACGCGCACACACATACACACACCCTTGCGCACACACACAGATACGTACACAGACAGACAGGCAGAGACTCACACACACACACACACAGACACACACACCACATTATCCCCAGCAACCCATTACAGAGATTGAAATGAGGCCAAGGATCTCACAGCTCATGGTGTACATACTAAATACTCTCGTAAAACAACTCAGCTCTCGCATCTGTAACGGCACGCTGAGCGATAAATCAGTCAGCACGCCCGCAAACTCCAGAGAAATACGCAGCAGTTTTGTGCTGATTTAGTACGGGGGAGTTCAGAGCTGAGAGGAATCGATTGATATCTGGTGTACTCACCACCTCTTCATCCATCTGATTAACGCATTATATCACCAGAAAGTTTTAAAAGACACAGAGAGAGAGTGAGCAAGACAGAGAGAGAGAGAGAGAAACAGGGAGAGAGAGACAGGGAGAGAGAGACAGAGAGAGAGAGAGAGAGACACAGAGAGAGAGAGACACAGAGACAGAAACAGAAAGACAGAGAGAGACAGAAACAGAAAGACAGAGGGAGAGAGAGAAACAGAGAGAAAGAGACAGATACAGACAGAGAGAGAGAGGGAGAGAGATGGAGAAAGACAGAAACAGAGAGAGAGAGACAGTGAGACAGAGACAGGGAGAGATGCCGATACAGAGCGAAACAGAAATGGAGAGAGATAGGAACAGAGACAGATAGAGAGAGAGAGAGACAGAAACAGAGTGAGAGACAGACAGAGACATCGATACAGAGAGAAACAGAAACAGAGAGAGATAGGAACAGAGAGACAGGCAGAAAGGCAGACAGAAACCGAGAGATAAATACTCAAGAGACAGACGTTGTACTCAGATAGAAAGGGACATAAAAAGACACAGACAGAGAGAGAGAGACAGAGAGACTGACAGATCGACACGGACAAAGAGGAAGAGAGAGATTTTGGCGCACACAGGTAGACAAATGGGAGAGAAACAAGGAAACACACAGAGAGTGAGAGTGAGAGTGAAAGACATGGAAAATAGAAAGACACGGGGGGTACACAAAACTAAACAAAGGACGAAAGATTGTGTGTGAGAAAAAGAGAGAGAGAGAGACCCTCAAAGGCAGACAGGCAGTGAGCGAGATGCACACACAGACACAGATAGAGAGAGGGGACAGGGAGAGAGAGGGAGACAGGAGGAGGGAGAGGGAGAGAGACAGAAGGGGAGAGGGAGAGGGAGAAAGAGAGAGAGAGAGAGGGAAAGAGAGAGAGGGACAGAACCAGAGACAGAGAGGGAAATAGAGGGACAGAGATTGGGATAGAGAGGGACAGATACAGGGATAGAGAGGGACAGAGACAGAGAGAGGGAGGGACAGAGACAGAGAGAGGGAGGGACAGAGACACACACACAGAGTGGGAAGGAGAGACACACAGAGAGAAACATAGAGAGAGACAGAGAGACACACAGAGAAGGAAAGAGAGAGAGAAGTAGAGAGATAAAGAGAGAAAGACAGCATTGGAAACAGAGAGAGAGAGACGCACAGAGAGGGAAAGTGAAAGAGATAGACACAGAGAGAGGGCG